TTAAAAAATTCATCTTTTCCAGTTTAATTTTTTAAATCGCACAATTGTAAATTCGTTCGAGCCATTTTGCAATAAAACGTGTACAAAATTTGCGTCAAAGACAAAAATAGCGTTGTAGGGGCTACCAAGCGTAGAAAGGAGCCCATTTCGCATGTATAAATTCGCTCGTCGCTGCGGCAAAAGGACTCACTTTCCTACCTTGCTTAGCAGCGCGAGCACTGTTGTTGAAATAAAGCCTCAGCTATTTCCTGAGACGAATTTCTTTTCAGTGGTTAGCCTGTTAAACTCCTTCCCTAACGATCTCTAAGAGCTCAACTCATGAGACTATTTCTCTCATGAGAAAAAAGCAGCCTTAGAGATCTTCCCTTCCGAAATACACTTGTTGTTAAGAGATCGGATTGAGCAGTAATTGCGGCGCTGTCGGGCCTTTCCCCGATAGATGCAATTGCTCTCAATCGCATCTCGAAAACAACTCATCGAGTTGGGAAGCCTCGTGGTTTTCCACTCGAAAGACTTTTTTTGATCATTTAGATTGCGCGCGTGTCAAATTCTTGCTTTTTTCGGAAACGTTATTGCGAATTTACTGCAAAGAGTCCGAACTTTTATTTTCATAACACGAGAAACACTCAAACGTTACATATCAATAAATAAACAATTAATAATTTATTTAAACAATAAGTTGTATATAAAATGAAAGCGTTAATTTTATACTTAATAATGACAGCTTTATAATTTATAAATCTTAGATAATTAATCTAATAATTGCGTTATAAGATTATAGAAAAAACCGTTACAAATATGAAAATTTGTTATAATTCAAATGTTATTAACTAATTTCGATATTTTTTTTTAGAAATTACTTCTAAAATTAATAAACGATAATGTTGTGTAAAAATTTAATAATTTTCTATTGTAAATATTGTAATATTACATTAATTAACTTTATTAGTTAATAACTTGTGACGACACTATTTGCAATAATTGTAAATTACACTAAATCAACAAATAACGAACTCTGTAAAGTTTACATGTGTTGAAAGCTCTTTATTAATGTTTATTTACTTGTAAATTAAGAAAATTCATTTCTCAAAATTCGCGAATGTTTCTTGAATATTCGAAAACTCCTCGAAGAAAACGCTCTTGCGAAAATAGGCGGGAAAATCTGTGAATAAATAGGTCTACTATTGCACAGGCTAGCATTCATTTCTAACCTTGCAAGGTGAGCGCATAAGTATGAATAAACTTGGCTAATACCTAAGTTCTTTCTCTCATTGTGATTAACTGAGCAAGACTTTTTCTTTTCTATAATTCGAGCTCAACTAATAGAACATCTCGCGCTATAAGAAACTTGGGCCGATTTATATCCTATCCAAGGAAGACTTTAGCTCTACTTATGGGACAATTCGCCCCATAAGAAACTAGGGCATAGTCTGACTTTCCTTAAAACTTTAGTCATATTCGAATATATTTGATTTTTCAATTTATTTTATTGACAAGTAGAGTAGATGCACTCAGTGTTTTCTTTCAAGTTCACAGAACAACTATTTCCAGAATTTTTTACATAACTTTAGATTATTATTATGTTGCTTGCCGATATTTTGTCAGATGGCCACATAAATTAGTAGTTCAATTAACTATGCCTGCGGTTTTCCAAGAAGAATACCCTAATTGCAGAGTTATTATTGATGCCACCGAGTTTTCCGTAGAACAACCACCCAATGTAGAAGAAGGAGTACGGTTCTTTTCGTTATATAAAAAAGGCTACCGAATCAAAGTCGTCGTTAGATGTACTCCTGGTGGTTTGATATCTCTAGTGAATCAATGTCATGGTGGGAGAGGAACAGATGCCCAGATTACAGTGGGATCACGTTTATTGAAATTATTGGAGCCTGGAGATGTAGTCTTAGCTGATAAAGGCTTTCCTCAAATACAATCGATATTGGATGAAACAGGAACAAATATTTTAGTCGTGATGCCTCCATTTCTATCCAATGACCAATAGTTTACAGAAGAGCAAGTGGACGAGACCTACAAAGTGGCAAGCGTACGAATCCATATTGAAAGGATCATGCAGAGGATACGAACTCATAAAATTGTCGACAAATTAACAGTTGAAATGCTACCATATATGAACAAGATCATTTTTATAACGTGTGTGTTGGTTAATCTACAACATCCAATTATAAAAGCAAAAAGTTGAAGTTATCCATATTATAAAAAAATTGTAAAGAAAATAAAATAGTAAATGGAACAAATTATCGTAATTCATATCGATTTATTTACATAAATACATCAATAAATATTTTTCAAATATTTCATTCTTATGTATTTACAAATGTTATGATACTCTCATACTTTTTAAAACAACCATCTCTTTTTATATCACAATATTATCACTGAAAAATGTTCATCGCACATCGTAACCATTGCTTATCTTATTTTTATTTTAAATGTTAAAATGATTAGAATTTTTATATGACGAAAGATAAATTGTATAGTGGTGAAAATTTATACAGTGGTAAAAACCATTTGTGTATTTGATCACATTAAACAGGTAAACACACTTTACGAATTAGAATAACTAATGCCATTTTCTTTATCACTTTCAAACAATATAGGTAAAAAACTATTGAAATAAAATTCTTCTATTTTTGGCATAAAAGTTTCAAGATACTTTTCATCTCTTTCCACCACGACTAATTCACTACCCTTAGGTGACCATACATATAAATCACACTCTGTCAAACCTGTTATGTACATTAATACTTGGCATTGCGAGTAGTACTGATGATTTTTTTTCAAGCATATTGTGCCATTCTCTACATTGAGATAACCAACATTAAATTTACCAGTAGCAGTATGCAATATCGGTTTATATTTGCAGGTAAAAGGACACTTAATTTCCAAAATTTTTGAATCATTTTCTAAAACAATGCCATCAGGACTGCCGCACAACCAGGGATGCAATAGTAAAATATAAACGCCAATATGCCGAACAACTTTCTTGTAACGCTCTATATATTCTCGTACCGCTATCCGCTCATTTTTTGTACCATATTCCTGAGCAGCAGTTGGTTTTACATTTTTATCACTTTCGAGAATTTCGTTGGCTAAATCATCATTGGATTTTCTAGTCATTGTCTTAATTTTATGCGCTCTTGAACTAGCACTAATTCTTTTTTTTCTCGCATCAAACCATAAGTTACTCTTACTTTGATCGATCGTGTCGATGCATATTTGAAAAGCTGAATGATGCGTGACACTGATGGTATTTTTAAAATATTTTATAAAAGCCGATTTAATATCTAATAAATGGTTCCAATGCAATCGATGTTGCCTTAGAGCAATCTCTAACAACATCATTACGTACTCACGTAGTTCAATAATTTTCTGCCCCAAGTTCGATTTTTTAAGTAATGCTTTTGCTTCAGCTTTCGTTACAAGTTCCTCCCGCTTCATGCTTTCTACGTTTAAAACGTTTCGGAGAGGGCAATCTATATTTTGTAAGTCATCTAAAGTCAGTTTATAAGGCTCAACATCAGCAAAATTATTATTCGGTTTGTATTTTTCTGCCAACACAAGAGGTTTGGCGTGGATTTCTTTTCCCAATTGAGCGGCAGATGGTTTAGCCCATTCCTGTTCGTATGGTGTTTTTGTCTCACTGCGATCAGTATTAACACGGTGTATCAAACCGTAAATGTGTTTACATTTACCTGCTTGCCCAGAAACACAAGTGCACGAAATATGAGTGACTGATAGCATCGAGCTAGAAGAGATTAATAATTATTATGACATACTTTCAATACATAAAATTATGATTAGAAATGGACTTACTTCCAAATTGACTTCGTATTTTCTAATTGGTTTCTTAGTGATTGAATAAGACCTAATACAGCTACACCTAATGAGCTTGCAAGCATCGACACCGTTAAGCTCTTCGACCCGCCTTATGTGCATTTTGGATAGGTCTTTTCCTTTTTTGATTTTTGCTGGGTCAAAACTGATATCGTATTGAATCGGCTGAAAGCCAGTTGTAATTATTTGATTCACTTTTTAATTTTGTAAACTTCATGGTGTTGCTTAGGATATAAGTAAATAAAATTCTTGTATGTATACTGTATAACACAAATGTATACATATACATACATCAAGCTCAGTTGTATAGGTTATGCCTGGTTAATCTCAGGTATGTCTGAAATAGAATATCATAATAGACTTTTGATCATCTTGGAAATCCATTTTATCAGAAATTGTAAACTTTTGTGAAAAATGTTGTCTACACACGCTTACAAATAATTGATAAATAATTACAACCCATTCGCTCCTATGCAATGTAATGTATTTTGCGAGCGATTAGTTATAAAATCTGCCGTGTACGCGCTGGCTGTAAGATACGCACGGAGCGAATAGACCGTGCCTAGTTTGCCTATGCGTTAATCCGGCCTTGTCAGAGTGAGTAGCATAAAATCCAAGAAAGAAAAGAGGCAAAGAGTGTTCTGCCACCAAAAAGTTGCGAATACACTTCTTGGCTTAACTTGCCTTATTATTCTTTTATTTAGTCAGAGTTATATTTAAATTGAAAAGTCTTATTTAGTAAAAATCCCGAACATAACAAAGATATATTATTGTACTCCCAGCTTAATGTGGAGTTTGAATTTGAAAATATTTAAATTTTGTTTTATATTTTGCGAGTTAGAATAGAACTGATTTATTAAAAATAATAAATAAATGAAGATATTTCTAACCTTCTATCTATTGTGGACATATTTAATATCTTTCTTTTCAATAATATTTTTATTTCCGATACCAACCAAAATTTCAAACTCAATATCTCCAATATTAATCTTGTAAAAATAGGGAACACATTTCCTTTTCTAAGAACATAACGTTTCTTTTTTGAGTAATTAATTTATAAAAATCGAAACGATAATAGAAGTACATTGTACGATGCATAACTTAAATAGATCTAAAGTATATGTATTTTTATTTATTACTTTCAGGTCATCTGTAATTTTCACATCCTTCATAATGAATTTACCACAAGTACTCGACCAAAATCATTCAATGGGACTGTATTTGATTCAACCATTTTTAGTGATTCTTCAAAATGTTCCTTGTCCTTATACAAAGATAAATTCTAGTAATAACTATTTTCCTATCTATAGTTTATGGGCTATAAAAAGTGTCTATCGTCGAGCATGGTTGATATCAGTCCTTGTTATATTATATAAAGTAAGTTGCTTAAAATTGTTCAATTTAATTAATTCAATTTGATTATTTTATTAATCAAGATAAATTTTTAATTAATTCACTCTTACCAAATATTTAATTCATTAATTTTTATAAAATTATACTACATATATATTATACACTTTAACGGGATTGATTAACAGTTGCAATTAGGGTTTGTATAAGAACGATCTCCCACGATGCAGAGCTAACCGCCGCTCCATTAATCACGTATGAGCATACATGTATTCGCCTTTACGATTGATACTTTCACTCCAATGTCTTCTTTCCAATACAGTTGAATTTACCTTTAGTCACCTGACTTGTGACAATTGTAATATCCTAGGTGTACGAAGACTAATATTTATTTCTTATTATTCCCTAGATAAAATCGGTTCAAAAGATTTCAGGGGCAGATCCGTTAAATTAAAGGGAAACGAAAGAACGTTCTGCTGCGAATAGAAAACAAACCTTTTATAGGATAATTAGTTACAATCTTTGATGGGCCAAAAGACTTACGCACGCGTATAAGATTAACACTTATCCGGGGGAGAGAGAGAGAGAGAGTACAAAATTTCAACGCAAACTACAACGCTTGGCGCGAATACAAAAGAGGCAACGGTAACGTACAAATCTACGCTCGGAATTATTTCGTCGTACTGAAATAAGCTGGTGCACCTACCCTACGGTGCGGTTACGGTGATCAGCCGTAACTGATTCTCAGCAATATTATTACGGCTCCTAGGACAATGCTGCTGCTTCGATGCCTCGATCACCTTAGCGGTTGTTACCGTCGGTGTATGCTGTTGTTGCCACATACAAAAAAAGTGCTGTCGCTACTGGTTCAAGTGGAGTGTTGCTGCTGATACGCTTCTTAGTCAATACACCCACTATCGTCCAATAAACTCAAAAACGCGACAATCACAAAACCAAAAGAAAATCAGGCGGTTAACCGATTAACAGCTGAGGCTATACTAAAACTTAAACTCGCGCGCGTTTGACCCAGCGCGGGTCACTCGTTATATAAATTACGAGGGGAATAAACAGCTCGGTGTGGGCCTCGTAATAGGCTGCGCAAAGCCTAGCCCAGCGGCAACAGGAACGTCGTGGTGCAGCGTCTGTTACCTTGGCCCGCGGAGAGCGTCGTGTAGTCCTATGGGCGCTTTGGAATAATCACGAAATTTAGGTGCGAAAGCCGGACGGAACGGGATTGATTACGATAGGTAAAAGGAGGCGCAAAAGAAGAAAACAGATATACAAATAACGTCGAGTTTACTACGGAGAGTAATACAAAATTAATACGCAGCGTAAGCGGGAGAGAGAGCGGCGAAAAGCTAGCGAGAGAAACATGTATTCGAGAAGGTACTTACAATAACGTCTCGGCGTTAGACCTGCAGGCGATATCCTCAGCCTCGCACGTGGCTCGCGATGACGCGCAGTGTACAGCTCGGGTGCAGTCAAGAAGCGGGCGGCCTTAAAGGCTCGCACGCGTGGTCGCAGGAACTAGCCCGCCAAAGGCACTAGGGGCAATCTCGGCACCGGTATCTTACACCGAGTAGACACTCGCGTACTCGCAGGCAATCGAAATGTCAGTCACAAAAGTTAGTCGCGAAAAGTCGAGTAACAAAAGGTCGCAAGCACAAGTATAGCCGCTCGTCACACGTCCACGTGCTTCGTAGTCGCCGGTACAAGAGCGAGTCCTTGTCGCGCGCCTCTCCGAACTCTTCTTCTCGCGCGCGTCGCGCCGGCCTCCCGAATTCTCTCTCTCTAGCTCGCCCTCTATTAGCGCTCTCTCTGACTTACCTTTGGCTGCCATACATGTGGGATAATTACAAGACAATTATATATATAAGAATAATTATAATTATGTATAGGAAGAGAGAGACATAACGAGAGTCTGGCCGCTCATTATAACATATATATATTACATTACATCATAAATGCAATTAGACATACTATAGATCCAACAATAAAAGAATTTATTATAAAAAGATATGGTTGAATTAAAAAATGAAAAGTCAAATGAAACTATTACTTTCGATCAGAATAAATATACTAATTTATACGTAAATTCTATATAGACATTTTAATTTTAACAATGCATTTTATTCAAAGAATGTGACAAAGAAACTGTTTTCATAGCAATTTCTCCTCCATTAGCTACCTCTTTGTGCCTGTGCGCACTGCTGTCGATACGAGAGCTCATTACTCACGCGTCTTTGTTTTACGAATGCTTGACTGATGAAGCCTAGAGAGAGACGGCACGACCTCAGCGGAGCCAGAAAGGTGAATACACGATAATATGAGTAAGGGAGGAAGAATAAATAAAAGAAATAGTAAGGCTTTACATAGGAGCGAGTAAACGAATTCGCAGATGGTTGTGAAGCAGCTGGTGTAGCGAGCTTACGAGTGTCTAGTCCTCTAGTCACTCTCTTCTATTTGAGACTTTGTCTGGGAACAGTTCATCAAAGTTGAAGGTCTTGAGTTAATACTATGTTCGATTTCGGTTAACAAAATATATAACACGTTTCTTTAGAAGTTTTATTTTTTATAGAGGCTGTTAATTTACGTTATAAAAATCTCATTATTCTCTTCCAAGCTTTTTCAATATTAACAGCGGTGGATGAATTAATTTTTTACCGAGGTTGTTTTGTTTTCGTAAATCTTATAATTTTCATATTATTTGTGAATTCTGTTGCTTCGGTTAACTCTTTATTAGTCCTTATAAAATTTCTTCCATTACTCGAATAAATAATAATTAGAGTGGCTTTTCGTGACGAAAATCTGCATAGAGCCTGTTATGTGACGGAACATTTTCCTTTTTTTTTTTGCTTTTGTTTTTGCCTATATGGCTACATAAGAGAGAGTTTACCTGCGAGCCTCTCACTTGCGTCACGCCAAGGCTAAGAGCATAGCTATAAGATGCTATGGTCAGTAGCACGAAGGTTTTACTTGTTCATCGCGTATGAGTGAAATATGAAATTTTTAAAAAAAACTTCTTTAAATATAAAAAATTTCAAGAGAGTTCGTTGAAGAATTATAAGACATCTTTGCCTTTGGAACTTTTTGCTCAACTTTATAGTTTATGAGAAAAAGAACAATAATGAGAAAAACAGGTTTTTGGGAGCTTTTTATAAACAAACCAATATATTTAATTCTGTATTCAACAGTTTTATATTGTGAGCCCGTATTCATATTTAGAACGCCCAAAAACATAAGATACAGTATCTTCGATCTATGCATGACTTTCGTGGTCAATAACATGGCGTAAGATCGATGGATTTGAGTGTTAATGGATTAAGACAATAAATCACTATTTTATGAATCCAAGGTGAAACAAGTCGCTAAAAATGGCTTAAAGTATCTTGTATACATGTGATAGAAGCAATCTGAAAGTTACAGGATGATCGGCGATTAACACTTGAGTAGTGTTACTTGTAAGTATACACTGCTAGTCACGTACTTTTGCCCCTTAAGAGCAAAACTAGCCATACTTCAAAATCGTGTATCTCTGATCAAAATTTACATACAGAATCCAGCGGGATGTCATTTAAAAGCTCTTTCTAAGGGCTTTCAAACTGTTTTATTTAAGAATCCAATCAAACGTTTTTCTATTTTTTTTCAAACGATAATTCAACGTTGAAAATTATAAATTTTTGTGTCCATTTTTGATCGCTCGCCAAACTCTAAACCTTCTCGCGCAGAAATTTGAAGTACGCCATCTTGTAGCTCTTTTCAAGACCTATTCAAATCATGCATTGGATATTTATTGTTCTTAAATATTATGCGTGTACCGGCATTTTTCCCAAAAATTGACATATGGTTTCATCTTGTCATATCTCCGTTAATATTCATAATACGAACAAAATGAATGGGAAAGAAAATTTTTCTTTTTTCAAGTAAAATACTATGGAATTTTTTCACCTTTCTTTTGTAAATAAAAATGTTTCCACTTTTTTGAGCCTACAGTGGTTTTTTCTAAAAAAGTTAAATAAAAAAATCTACTTATACATTTTTTGCCTATGAGTAAAAATAGGAGTTTTTTTGATTATGAGTAAAAATATGAGTTTTTATGTCTTAGAAATAAATAGACTCAGCCAACAATAATAGCCGATAACGTTCATTTCGAAAACACGTTAACTTAGTTAACGAACAGAATGGATACAATTCTTAAACTACTCATCATGCTTATAAATAAAATCAAGTGAATACCGAAATAAAAATATTAATTAGAACTCTAACGCTTTAGCCCAAAGGAGCCTGGAATTAACAAATGTTCTTATAGAAAATAATATTGACTTAATGCTAATATCTGAAACAAACTTTACACATAACAACTATTTAAAAAATATACAATATTCTATATATGTTGAATACAAACTATTCAGATGGCAAATCGCATTGAAAATAAAAACGGCTTAATTATATTCTCTTTTATATATTGCCCTCCGAGGGTCACTATTACAAAAAACAATCCTCTTATAAAAAAGTGAACTAAGCCCAATTTATTCTGATTCTGACTGGTCGAAGTCAAAATGGCGCAAAAATTTGAATTATTTTTATCTCATTATTAATTATTTTCAATTTTGATCATGATGATTGATGATTATAATGATAATATATAAAAATATAATTAAGAATTAAGATATACAGACAAACATAAAGATTATTATTCTACTATTATTTAAAATACTTTACTGTATACAAAATTATGTGATGAAAAACATCTGAATATTATAGAAATGATTGTAATCGAAATCTATAAATGTGTCATGTAGGTGTGCTGGGTATAGTACACACGTACAACCTATTCGCATGCTAGACTGTGAGACCTGCTCTCTTCCCTCTCTCCACTTTCAGAAATTTTAAGATTCGCCTCGTGGATTAAGCGAATCATTATTCTTCTGACATCCGCGTTAATTTTTGTTAATTGCACAACTATAACTATTTCAATATTAAAGGTACGTATGAACATTATTTATAGCAATATATTTTTTTTTCAT